ATGCAATTAAACTATCAAAACTTGGCTATGATAAGTCTCAGACACCTGTTAGAAAGAAACCTGAGCTACCCCTGCTACTGGTTGTTCTCAAAGTATTCCTACTGCAAGGATCAGTTTTGTCTTTTGAGAATTAGACTAGTTTGTGATTTTTATCCAACAGCTTGTTCACTTTCTAGCTGCCACTTAAATTAGCATCCTTTAGTCCAGGCTTTTCTGTTGAAGGGTAAGAGTATATTAAATAATGTGTACTTGGAAGGTGGTTGACTCTGGGATATTTTTCACTGCGCCAGTATTTGCGGTCATTGAACCTATCAAACTTGTTTGGGCCAGTAAGAAAGTTTCTCTGGATCTATTCCTTTTAAGGAGTGCAGCTACTGTGAGTTACTGAGCAATGACATGCACAAAGTACACAGCTTGGCAAAGAAAATAAACAAGTTAGCTGGAAACTTTATCACTGTGTAAAATAACAAAACAAACAGGAACTCAACCACCCACCCTAAAGAGAAAGCCACACATGACTGTTAGTGCAAAATTGAGTTTATTTTACTCTCCCAATTTTGAAATATGCGTAACATTTGGGGTCTGTTTCTCTTTGAATCTCTGTATCCTACATAGTTGTTTAATCCTAAGAAAAGCAAATATAAACCACTACCAAATAAAAATCCGTTTCCATTTTTCACAGATTAAAACAACCATGCTCTATGAAGGCCCAGAAAAAGCACCAATTTCTCATTTTTACATAGTTTTTGAGTGAATGACAGAAGTTCCAATGCTCTTCTACCACTGCTGTTGCTCTGTAGTAGGTAAGAACATATTCTTAGCTAGAAAGAGTTAAGGAAAAGCATATATGTAGTTTAGGAGTAAAACTGAAATATGAAGTCTTCTGCCTTGAAGTTCTCTCTCCATATCAGCAATACCCCAAAAGCCACTGTAAGCCATTGAAATACAACTACTTTTAACAACAGAAAAACAGAAGTTACTTCCCTCATTGAACCTACATTGATACAGTTTTGGTCATGTTCTTCCTAAAGCATAATCTGCCCTGCTTCTGTAGAACTTATTATACTTACTGCCATTTTGATTCAAGCTACTACTTCCATGTAAAGCACATAATAAAATATATCATTACGAAATATCTAAAAGTTTCTCCTGCTGCAGCTGCTTTCCAGGTTCCTACCCCTGCCTAAAACCACAATATCCACTCTCTTCCTGGTTGTTACAGAGCACTGTTTCTTGGTTTTTTTTCAGTTGGTACCCTCCTGATTTGAAGATGACGTTCACTTGTAAGGAAGCGTAACAACAATGAAAATCTGATAAGGAAAAGAAAGCAGTGTATGATTTTGTGTGTCTTTCACACAAGCAGAAGAAAGAAGGAAGTACCTGTACCTGATTTATGATGTTACAAGATAGTCACTGAAAATTACTTCTGAGTATCCTCTATGAGGTCAAATATAACTACCCCAATTAACAAAAAGGAGTGATTTAGAACTTTTCCCAATTGCATGCAAGCACAACCTTTTCAGCTGCTTTTCAGCAATATGGACATGTCAGACTATCAGATGTTTTGAGTTCCAGGCATTTTTATATCTCTCCAAATTTTTTAAAATCTCGAACTTACTCTTAGGAAACCATACACCTTTTTAGCTGAGGGCAGAATTTTCACCACTGACATTTATATTGTAACCAGCTCTCAAGAAAAACCATACAGACACCACCCTTTTACAAGCTGCTTTGGTTTTGGCAGCCTCCTCAAGATCGCTAGGAGCTCATATGCCTGCATCTGCAGGAGTGGGGATATCTGGTTAATGTCAATCAGGCAGTAGAGTTAAAGGGAAATGTGCTGGGAGCTAATAATTAAATACCATTAGGTCTTAATGCTCTGCACAGCCTTAGAGTGTAGCTTTTCATAAAGCCTAGAGGCTGCTACAGACAAAAGTGGTTTCAAGGTATTTTGAGTAGTTTTATGTCTTTTCAGCTGCACTAAGAGAGATGTAGCAGCATTTTTGATAAACAAAGCCCTCAGGAGCCCTTAGCAAAAAATACTGAAAGCCTTATAATCTGCACAATTCTATTACTCAGCTGCTGGATAATCAAACCATAACTAGTGCAGGTTTATTCAAGAAAGCAAAAAGTAAGCTAGAAGAAATAGTATTGGTGATTGGAAGAAAGCTTATGCATACCACATAAAAGTTAGTTCCAGGAATAAATTGCCCAAACGATTGCCTACATTATATTGACTTGTTCTCAGATGAAGAAATAGATGAAATTCAGTGTAATATGTTGGGAAGAGTTCTTCAGCCTTTTAAAAAATTGTACAGGTACGGAACTCCACAGTTACTGAGAAATTGTTTAGAATGCAACTGTGTGATGCACACAAAAAAACCCTCATCTAAAAGCCTAACCCTGCTACTCATAAGAGATGGGAATCTGTGTAGCTTCCCTTTTCCTCTCCCTTCCTTTGGCTGCTGCATTATGATGTTTTGTTGTTGTGGTTACAGAATCACTGAGGAGGGAATTGCGGCTCTCCTCCATTGAAAAAGCACTTTTTATTGATCCTTCTTAAGTGAGCTGATGTACTCCTGCAGAACCATGGAGGAAAAATAAGCATCTGTTGGTGCTTTTTTCTGCTTTTGAATAATGCTAATAAAGATTAGAGATATACAGTAAGAATAAATTTGGACTTTTGATTTTTTCCCCTTGGAGAGCCAACCCTAATGTATGAACAGATATGATGTGAATTTTCAAAGTTGTTAGGGTAGTGGGAATTGTACTGCTGTGTACACCTTTCTGTCATTCACAAAAAAAAAAACAACAAAACGATTCTGATACTTATCTCAAACTGTATGCACTGGAAATCAAATACTATTAGACAAGGCAAATATTTACTTGCATTAGCAGTTAATAAAACTATTCACAGAACAGCCACATTTGTATGAAAATGCAGGATCAGCAAACTCAGACGATCCTGACTCCTTTGAAACCTGCCTGCATACTTTCTTATGTCAGTAAGGTATTCTAAAAAGTTATTATCACTAAAAAGTACAAAAATATTTAGCTTTCAAATTATGAAGCAACTCCTTTATAATTGCTCTTGAGATTTAATTGGTAAAGGTGGAGACAATTGTTTTCCATGGACTGGAAATACTAAGCTCTGATTTTAGAAAATTCACATGCATCTGCCTATGGGGAAGAAATCAACAAAACAACCACTTATGGTTTTTAGATAAATATTTGCTTATCTTGCTATTGTCTTATGGTTTCACCTATCACTGTAGCATAAACTTTGAGTCAAAAGGTTGCTTGGTATTAAATGCATTTGAAACTCTGCAAGTTCAGAAGTTCAAGTATCGTTCCAAGGTTTGTTTTCTTTAGAAAAAAAATTATATCGGGATGACAGAGTAAACTCCAAGGAAACTTTGAACACAGGCACAGAGAAAGGAAGGCTGAGACAAGAAAAACTTTAATAGTTTGATTCTTAATGCATACACAGTGGTATTATAAACCTGATGATCTAGCTCCTGCACAGTAAGTGTTCCTTTGTCCTCCCCTGAAAAATAACCAAACCACAAATCAACCACAAACCTCCCCCCAAAAAAAACAACCCCCCAAAAAGAACCATTCCACCAATAAAAAGGTTTTCTACATCTGAAATGAACTCAAAAAGAGATTTCAAAACCATGTGCTGATTTTGCAGAATTTCAGTAGAGTTAGAAAGTCATAAATACCATTTTGAAAACTTGTTAAGTTTGAAAATTTGTAATGAGTCTCAAACTCTGGGACATGGAGTACGATGTAGGGTTACATTAGCAGATGCGTCCTGAAATAGCTGTGAAGATGATTCTGCACAGAGAAAAGAAGGTGCAGAACTGAAAAAAAAAAAACCCACACCTTTTTTTTTTTTTTTTCCAGCTGTAGGATCTCTGTCCTGAAAGGAGTTCCCACCTCAACCACCCTGGAGCTAATTTGGAATTTTAGTACAAGTGCCCATGTAGCTCTTCAGCGCTACCGAGTCAAGCACCTTGCTTTCAGTTGTGTCCTCAGAGGATGGTAATAGTTTGTAATACGTTCTGTAATACGTCAGTGCTTTTAATATCAATGAATAGCAAACATGCCTTTTTATAATAACAACACTAATTTCTATATACCTGTATTACCAGAGACCTTGAAATACTTGCAGCAGGCAAAAGCAGCAAAGCAGCCATTGGCTTAACCATGAGATATGGTAAGCTTCCAGGACATTGGAAACCATTGGGTGGGAAGTGACCTTAAAGTTCTTCTAGTTCCACAGGGCACCTGAAGCAGCCTTACTTTGTAGCTTCTCTGAAGGACCCTAGTTTTCCTACTGCAGGCATGACGTAGATGCCACTTTCCATGACTGTGTTCCTTACAAAACACAAAGCAGTTAAATGCTAGATTCAACCGTGCAAGCAATGAGTGAAATACATCTAATTCCAAAAAGCCCTCTAAAATGAAAACCAGCTAATGCCATCCGCAGGCATGTCCCCTCCTTTTCACGCTTCCATCCTTGTTGGGATGTCGGGTGGGAAAAGAGAAAGCAAGCCCCAGATGCAGCGTTTTACGATACTTAACCTCTCAGGTCGCCCCTCTCGCCTCCTGACTTCCTCCAACGGGTGTGTGCGGGGTTGCGGGTGATGGTTTTATTCTGGGGGCTTTTCAGTGTCTATGAGGGTTTTCTGTTCTGTTTTTAAGCAGCCGGCTCCCGCTAGCCCCGACGCTCTGCCGCCTGCCGGGCGCCCCTCTCCCCCTGCCCCGGGCCTGCCTGCCAGGTGTCTCTCCAACCCCAGCTCCCTGCGCGGCGGGAGGATCGGTCCCGCCCAGCCAGAGCAGGGGCCCGGCCGCGCCCGCAAACATTAACCACGTGCCCGTCCCGACCCGGGGCCCCTCTCCGCGGTGGGGCGGGACGGCGCGGCTTTCCTCCGCTCCCCTGCTGTGTCGGAGTCGGGGGCCACGGCCGGCTGTTCCTTTGAAGAGGAGAAGGAGTCGCAGAGCATCAGCGCTGAAACCGAGCGGCAGCTGCGCCCAGACAAGCGGAACGTCCGCCGGGAGCTGAAGCTGCTGCTGCTGGGTGAGTGCGGGCTGCCGACACCCGCATCGCCCCGGCACGGCCCTGCGCGTCCTGCCCGCGCCAGGCGGGAATACCTGTTCCCGTGGGGGTTCTGCGAGTGCGGGGGTCTGTGCCGGTGCAGGCAGGGCTCCTTTCAAGATGCCCCCGCGCGGCAGGGCTGGGGCGGGAACGGCGGGTGCCGCTGCCCGGTGCGCGCAGGGTTGGTACGCAGTGGTTTTCCTTAGAGACAAACCAAACCTAACCTAACCCAACCCAGACCGGAGCGGGCGCTGTGGGGCCGTCGCGGTGCTGTGTACGGGAATGCCGTGGTAAGAAGTAACAAGGGAAATAGAGCTGCAAGCTCAGTAACAGGATTTGCGCGCCTCGCCTGCCTTACGCGTGTCAGGGCCTCGCGGTAAGCGCAGCGAGAGGCAGCAGCAGCCTGCTGGCGCCACTGTTGGGAGCATCGCTCCCGAGGCACCGCTGCCTGCATCAACCACTTGACTTTCTCCGTGAGTGCTGTTCCGCTGGTCGTAGTTCAGCTTGGCGGCTGCTTTGGTGAGAGCTCCAGCGCAGATGAAGCTGGCGGCTTTCAGCCTCTCGAGCTGTTTGTTGCTGCTCCATGCAGACGCAAACACGCCTCCGTTAGAGTTCTTGCTGCTAAGGTACAGGCGGGGAAAAAGAAGCCCCCAGGAGTGTCTGAAAGAAACCAAGACACTTAGACCCATCAAATACAAAATCTTAAACTAAGGTGAAGTAGCCTCAGTCTAGGAGAGTTTTATTTTTCTCTGACAAACAGAAAAACAGCTCGATGCAGAAGCTCCCAGGAATCAAAGCTCCCAGTGTGGGAGCAGCATCTCTTGCTGTAACCAATGCCAGAGGAGAAGTCTGTGTCTCCAGTGCTACCCTGTCCTGGTGTTTACACTCCCTTGCTTACTCTGCTTTCATCTCTGCTTCAGTCAGGTCAAGATGTAGCGGCCTACATAGTGTAACTCACCGAATAACTGGCCAGGCTTCACATACGTAAGTTTTTAGGAAGACTGAACAAAACTGTAGATCACGAACCAAGGCTGAACCGGCTGCTCTCAGTGTTGAATTAAAAAGTGATTTGAACATGAAACTGATTTAAAAAAAGAAAATGAAACCCACTAATACTGACTTGCCTTCAGTGCCTTGTGTCCGGTTGCTACCATCTTTGCCTATTACCTGCATAGAAATCTGTGGTTATGGTGAGGAGAGCGCATGGATAAACAGCCCTTGAGAGGCAGCAGTTTTAAGAATTAACATAAAAATGGTAGGCTGTCAGTACATTGACTCCTGATGGGAAGTAGGAAGATCTCCAGCCAGACAAGACCATGACAGATTTGGATGTATATGTAATAAGGATGCATATTTGATAGACTTGCTGTCGTAGCCCTTTATTTAATATTAATCACCTGGAAGAGTTCATGTGGGTTGCCTATGAACTTTTTATTTTTTTCTTTCCCCTTCAGTTTTAGGCCATGCTTTGTCAAGAAAACAGAGCAGAAAACAGGTTGAGGCTTTACTGAAAGGTTTGCTGTTATGCATGGGATGCTGTAGTCACTTATCAATTTTCCCATTTAAAACATAAGGTTAACAGAAGAAATCATGAAGCTATGAGACTGAGCCATGAAATGCTCTCATGTGCTTTGGAGTTTCTAAGATAGCAAAGGAATTGACCAGCACTGCTTTTTTGCATTTCTCAGAGAAGTGTCCTGTGTTTAGAGAGGGAGTAAGCACAGACATGGATTTTGATTGGCTGCTCACTACAGCAGGAAGTCCCGTGAAGGCTCATCTGATTCTGAGAATTGGACCATGGTCTGAAATACGTGATGGGCGTCCTTCTGTAAGATCTGTCTTCCTAACTGTGCCAAAAAAAGAGTGAGTTTCTGAACATTCTCAGCCATAATTTAGAATGAAACAGTCCAGTTTTACGTTTTCACCTGGGGACAGAAGCACTGTGTTAAACCAGGAATTTCCATACAAGTAGATGAAGTGTTCTCTGGCATTCATTGTGGTAGCAAGACATCTCTTTCAACCTTTTGTTTCCTTGAAGTCATTACATTTCTCCAGGAAACAGAAGTCAATCTTTCTGAGAATGGGAAAGTTTTAGATGTGTCAGCTCACTTTAATTTTTTGAAGGCAGTGGACGGGCTGACATTCAGGGTTGTTCTAAAACGCAGTTTATTATATCTGAGTAAGAAACCTGTCTGTGATGAAACTGATACACATTTGCACAAGTCAGAAAGATACAGAGAAAGGAAATACATCCATGTAAGTTTAGTGATGGTAGAGTCCGTCTTACTGATGTCCTTAGTAGATTTGTCTCAGTTAATCTAAAACAGAAGACTATATTATTATTATTATGAAAATAAGCTTTTTTTTGATTTAATAGTAAGCTTGAAGAGCCAAGACTGAGCATTTAGAGTGAACAGGATTTTTTTTCTCAGCACACTAATGGCTTTGCATGGTTTGTCAGTTTTCTGCTGTAGGTCTTGTAATTGCCAGAAACACTTTATTCTTCGATGTTTTTTTTTTTAATGTGGATTTTATGCATCATTTTCATACTGTCAGTAAGCAGATCTGACTGTGGTGAATGAAAGGCTGGTGAAAACCTTAAGGGCTCAGACAGAGCTGAGTTAGTCAGTGTGACTGTACCTGAGCCATCTAAGTGTTGGAGGGCACAGTCAAGACATCTTAGCCTGTGCAGCTCCATAACTCACTGCAAATACAGAGCAGATAAAAAATGCTGCTGTGTTTCAGCTCCTCACTGTTAACTGGCAGTTGTGGCTCTTGGTTTATCTTTCTGGGATGTGTGTGCTAGAGGAGTGCTTATATTCTAAGTCATGAGGGTATATCTGATAGTGATTGCTTGCTTTTCTGCAGCCTTCCTCCAAGCTGTCTGCCTGCCTTTGTCAGGCATATATTCTTCCTTATATCCAACCTGAACATCTCCTTTTTATGTTTAAACTCATCACCTCTTGTCCTATCATTACAGTCCCTGATGAAGATCGTAGAATCAGTGCCCAACCTGGGGAAATAATAGCATAGTAGGCAAGGCAGAATTAGAATTATCTGAAGTGATTGTTTTACTTAAAAGGGAGATTAGTGGGTAGTATAATGTAGTCATCTTTACTCTTCCAAAAGAGAAAGAAAGAAGAAATGAATGATTTTATTTTTATGTTGTTCATCTTCTGTTACTTGCTAAGTGATTCTTGTTAGGATTGCCTTTGGATTACTTTGTTCCACCATATTTGCTTAATTTTTCTTTGTATAAGTTACGTTTTTGCCTAATACTAGTGGAAAGAAGTACATTGAGTAGTATCTTTCCACTTTGAAACAGAACTACAAGGACTAGCTTAAAATAAGTACTCAGAATTCCAGAATTCCCTCATTATGCAGGAACACCATGTATGAAGTACTGGCCACTGAGCTCATATAAATGAACTTGGGAGCTTATGCATCACAAGCTTTGATTTTTGAAATTCTGAAGAACTGCATCCTAAAACCAAAGACTAACTCTTGGCTGAATTTCTCTCTGAGCAGCTGTGGTTGGGTGAACTAAGCAATAAATTGTTTCGCTTGCACAAAGCAAACGGAATAGCACATACATTCATTTTATCTAATTTGGTATGATTCATAGTCTTATCTACGGCCCTTCCCAAGTGAATGACCTGCTTGATGTTCATTTAGATTAATAAATTGCTCTGTAATATCACAATCACAGTTTGCTCATATCGTTTAACTAGATCAGATAAAATCATGACCTCCTGTTTTTTAATGATCTGTGTAATATTCATAAATACATCTAGCTGTCTACCTTCTCTTTTTTCCTCCACAGCAATTTAGTGTGAAAGCACTCAAAGAAGCACGGACTGCTGTATGCCATACCTTTATTTTCCTTTCTTACGGGTTGCTGTAACATATCTTTATTGATTCATAGCTACGATTAAACACGTTTCCTGTTAAAAAAAATCCAAAAAACTCTCAAAAACCTGGTTCAGTTGATACCCTGGAGGGAAGGGATGCCATCCAGAGGGACCTTGACACACTTGCGAGGTGGGCTGATGCCAACCTCATGAAGTTTAACCATGACAAGTGCAAGGTCCTACACCTGGGTTGCAGCAATCCCAGGCACAGCTACAGCTTGGGCAGAGAAGAGATTCAGAGCAGCCCTGCGGGGAAGGACTTGGGGGTGTTGGTCAATGAGAAAATGAACATGAGCCAGCTTCAGTGTGCGCTCGCAGCCCAGAAAGCCAACCGTATCCTGGGCTGCAGCAAACGGAGCGTGACCAGCAGGTCGAAGGAGGTGATCCTGCCCCTCTACTCTGTTCTTGTGAGACCTCACTTGCAGTATTGTGTGCAGTTCTGGTGTCCTCAACATCAAAAGGACATGGAAGTGTTGGAACAAGTCCAGACGAGGGCCACGAGGATGATCAGGGGACTGGAGCACCTCCCGTATGAAGACAGGCTGAGAAAGTTGGGGCTGTTCATCCTGGAGAAGAGAAGGCTGCATGGAGACCTCATAGCAGCCTTCCAGTATCTGAAGGGGGCCTATAGGGATGCTGGAGAGGGACTCTTCATTAGGGACTGTAGTGATAAGACAAGGGGTAACTGGTTAAAACTTAAAGGGGAAGTTTAGATTGGATATAAGGAGGAAATTCTTTCCTGTTAGGGTAGTGAGGCACTGGAATGATTTGCCCAGGGAGGTTGTGAATGCTCCATCCTTGGCAGTGTTCAAGACCAGGTTGGACAAGGCCTTGCGTGAGATGGTTTAGTGTGAGGTGTCCCTGCCCATGGTAGGGGGGTTGGAACTGGATGATCTTAAGGTCCTTTCCAACCCTAACTATGCTATGATTCTGTGTGTCACCAGGTCACTTTTTTTCCCCACTGCATAAGCAGAAAACATCTTCAAGTAATAGATGTTGATTTTATGTCTAGTAAGTGCTGATCCATGACAGATTACTGCTTGGCTTCCACTTGAATGGGAAAATGATAGA